ACGCAAAGAATCTTGGAGCTCCTGAACTTGGATTGTGACATTTCTTCAGAAAAGACAAAACGGCAGCGAGACTTGAGCGTTCTAACTTCTTCACCCTTCTGTCCAAAGATCCAATTATTTTGTCGTCAACAATTTCACATTCGGTCTTTTTGATGTAAGCATGTAATTCCTTGTCAAACGTATGCCTCTTCATGACAACTAAATGTCTAGTTTTGTCTGCTTTGGTCATCACTAGATCATTCGTTCTTAACCACTCCTTCGTAAGCCATATGTCTCTATTGCTAATACTAGTNAAATTAAGGTGTTTTAATTTCTGTGAGTTTATAAAAAAAATGTATATAATTAGAGTTTCATTTTATAAGTTTAATATCTTTAATTAGAGTTTATCACTTAAATAAATATTATTTCAAAGAAATTATGGTTTAGTATAAACAATATAGTAATTCAAATATTAATGAGTTTGTTTGATCACACAGTTTAAATTTGATTTGAAGAAAGACACTTTTTTAATATTATTATTATTGCTATTGTACAATATGAGCTAAATTCTTATACTTTATAATTTTTTACTTTCATTTCATTTCAGTAACTAAATTTTTTTAATTTTAAAAACATAAGTTTCGTTTCGAGTCAATTACAATATAAATTTTAAAAATGATATTTTTACAGATTTTGATAAAATGGATGAAATAATTGAATATAATGGTGTTATAATATGAAAAATAGGAAGACAAGACGTTTGCTATATCAATAAACATTCAATATGGTTAGTAAAAAATATTTATGTATGAAATCTTTTCGTTATTTTCTTATTAAATATAAAATAATACTACTGTAATCGTAATTTTTATTTATATAAAATTACAGAATGCGATTCTAATAGATTTCGAGTGAAAGGGCACGAAATTATTTACCGACAGTTGGCCATAAAAGCATTACACAGTCTTATAGAAGCTGTAATAGACATTTATATAGATTCTGTTAAAAAGTATCAATTATAGGCGAAAAATCAATTTTACTAGCAAAAAAATTCGTGGATTAAATTTTATAGATAAAAACATCGGGTATAACTGGTTGGATTAACATAGTAATTTACAAAAGTTATTAAATCATTTCACAATGTATTTTTATTTAAAGGTGGATAGATAGAAAAACTTTCAAGATATTTTATGAAAACAATTGAGAAGTTTTCTAAATACTAAAATTATTATTGCTGATCGTTTGATCTGAAATGATTATTATTGCAAATTAATATATTTATTACTTATAGTTATTATAAAAATTTATAATAACTAGAAAGAATATATTAAACTTTGTCTTATTGTTAAAATAAAATTAATTTAATTAAGATTTGTGATCGAAAAATTAATTTCATTCAACAAATTTTTATTTGTAATTTTAANAAAATCTAAGTGGATCGTACAACATGGAATTCATATAAAACGGAATTATCAACAGTGTTATAGGGGGGTCGACTGTAATTAGAAAGAATATATTAAACTTTATCTAAGTGATCGTACAACATGGAATTCATATAAAACGGAATTATCAACAGTGTTATAGGGGGGTCGACTGTAACTAGAAAGAATATATTAAACTTTGTCTTATTGTTAAAATAAAATTAATTTAATTAAGATTTGTGATCGAAAAATTAATTTCATTCAACAAATTTTTATTTGTAATTTTAATTTATTCGATAGTAATTTACTCAAAAAATTAATTTTGTGATCAGTATGTGTCAAACTACTACTACTCCTGCAGGCGGGCGTCTCACTCCTGGTAGGATAAATATAAACAATAAGGAGCGAAACTCCGTCAGAAGACCCGTCAGGATCGTCGGGAGTGGTGGGGTCGTTTGTGTGCCTTTCACCCTCTCCATCCACACTCTATCGCATCATCCGTCGACTGAGATCCCCGCAGGCGATCACGGCCACCCAACACATAATCCAAACGACCGACTACCTACTTATTCCCATCTAGCAGGCGAGAGCCTTTGCATCCTTCTTGGGCGTACCCGCCCAAGGGGCACTTTTGCTCCCCTTGATGATCCCCGGCTGCGGGGCCCCAAAGTTTGACGACTCCCCCTTTCATCTCGAACTCCGCCGGGCTTTACACCGTCTTCGGAACACTACACCAGGCTTAGATGGCGTAAGCGCACACACCTTACGGATCCTCCCAAATGTAGGCCTCTCGGCCGTCCTCAATCTCTTAAACGACCTCTGGATCTCAGGGTCCTGCCCCCCAGACTGGACCTCTTCTACCGTTGTTCCGATCATTAAACCGGGTCGCCCAGCGATGATATGCGCCTCTCATAGGCCGATCTCTCTTACCTCTCACGTCGCAAAACTATTCGAACGTCTGATCCTGTATCGAATCCATAAATGGACCTTTCATTCTGATATCTTCCATCAACACCACTTTGGCTTTCTCTCCTACCAAGGGGTAGAAGAGGCCCTTATTACGTTACACCACCATATAGCTGTGGCCCGTGCAAGAAAGCACTGGGTGTATCTAGTCGCACTCGACCTAGAAGGGGTATACGACTCTGTGTGCCAAGGACTCCTAGCTAAATTAGAATTTTTCGGTATGGGAGGGAGACTCTTGTCTTGGCTTAAATCGTTCCTATTACATCGTTCTTTTCGCGTCCGTTGGCGCGGGGCGATATCACCTCCTAACGCCTTATCCAAGGTGTCCCCTAGGGAGCGTTCTTGTCCCCATTCTTTTTACATTATACATGGCGGACCTTTGGACCGCTCTTCCCCCAATGTCACTGCCGTCCTTTACGCGGACGATTTATACATTCTCACCTCGAGTACTAGGCCTTCTCAAGCAGCTCGCAAAGCTCAATTAGCCCTGGACTACCTTGAACATTGGGCAGTCATATGGAGTTTATTCTTTTCCGCCACTAAAAGCGCTTCCGTCGATTTTTCTCCCAAACTCCACCGCCATCCACTTACTTTGTCTCTTAACTGAGGTAATATCCCTCAGCGCCAACGTTAATTTTTCCTCTCCAGAGGTTATTATTGACCTAGCTGCAACTATCAGCTCCCACCCAACACCCCTTGAAATCGGGTGGATCCCTGGTCACGTTGGCATTCACATAAATAAAGCGGCAGACCAAGCCGCCAGTCATGCCACTCCCATCGGCTCCTGGTGGAGACCTCTCATGGCACGTGACCTCATACGTCAGATGCGGGAATCGATCATCCGCAACTACACAGATACCTGGGCCGTGTTCAGTAACGAAGAATTCTTGCTAAGTCTAGTTTTGATGCAATGTTGAACTCGTTTCTAACTACTGCTTGACTCCTCCCACCACTAGCTTCTTTTATGTATTCTTAGCTCCGCCCACTAAGCCACTCAGAATTCTAACTTAGGTGTTCTGCGTTACTGAACACGGCCCTAGTATACTATTCTTCGGGGAAAAGTTCGCGATCATCTCCGACCTTTCGTCCCTTGGATATACCATCACGCCACGTCTCGCCACACAGAAACCCTATTGGCTAGACTTCGAACCGATACGGCCCCCTCGCACAACTTTCCTATTCTCGACGCCAATGCGCCTCGCCAGATTGCTTCCACTGTGGCTCGCCAGAAACTTCCGTCCACTATTGGCTTGTCTGCCCGCAATACACACGGGCCGCCAAGAGCTAGGTCGTCTCTTAACCTTGGACCTCACGATCGTCCGTACATTAACTCCGATATACTGGCCTCGTACCGACCTTCCTCCTCGCCAACATATCGAAATCTTGGAGCATTTCGTTCACCGCACCAACCGCTTTACCTAATTTCTAAGCGGAGTAATTCGGAGAAAAAGCCAACAGGCTAGAGTCTCTATATTAACAAGACAAGAAAGAAAGAAAGAAGAAAGATTTTTTTTGTTGGTGTGTGTGCTTTAGCTGGCAGCATGGCACTTTTGTGTGGTGTTTTTCTGAGGTGTGTATGTCCTGCTGAATCGAATATATTTGATACTAGATCAACTTCTGAAGTATAGTTTTTTTTGTTTTTATATTTTTCAATATATTTATTTTGTTTGTAAAAAATAATGAAATAATAGCCACGATTATTATTTTAAAAAGTTTACGTTAGGCTTAACATCGACGAAAATTCAACGCAAAGCGACACGCAACGGAGAAAAATTTCAACACGGACTAGGTTAATATATTTTTTCGTACATAATCGGTTATCCGAAAAATAAGTTATCCGAACAATCTCAGTCCCCAATTGATTTGGATAATCGACGCCCTACTGTAAATGTTTTAAAAAGTAAAATCCAGTTTTCTTTAACTTTCACACTAATCTTGGTATTATGCGACCAAAAATAAAATCGCGGCACCCTCATGAAAAGCCTGTAACAATTGATACAAAGTATAACTAAGGATATTTCTAAACACGAACGCTCCATGCTTTTTTTTTGGCCGCATAGTACCAAGTATACTACAAAAGCCGTTGTTTTACTTTCTTATGGGGATGCCTTCCGAGAGTATTTTTAAGGAAAACTGGTCCCTGTTTAGGCGTTACGGACGTGGAGAAAACCCGAAAAACTCCAGTGGCCGAGGGGCGAACTCCCAGTGTTCGGGGGAACGAGGACCGCTCGGCCACTGGACACTGGTGGGCTTACTTTTTAGTGCATTTGTGTGAATAAAAAGCGTTTCCTTAAACTTTTTATAATTTTGTTATTAACTTATTGTTAAAAAATAATTGAGAATGAATGACAACTAGAAGAAGCTTTTAGAATCTTTTTTACATTGGAGGAGGTTGAATAGCAGCAGGGAAACGAAATTGGGCACATTTTCGTTTCTTAAATGAAATTAAACAGTAAAATTAAATAACGATGTATAAAACGTAAATGTTATTAGTGCGAATTGAAAATAGATTTTGCCATAGCGAGTAAGGCGTACAGACAATGGAGAGGGAACATAATTTTTAATTAAAATGTTTAGGGACTTTGTAGCCGTTTTTACTACTTAATTAATTAATAATAATTTTATATTTTTCAGCCTTCTTTTTCTTATTCAAGTCGTCGAAAAACGAAAGATTTGAATCATTTCCTCAAACGTGGATGTCACTTTTTCATATGACTCTCGGATTTTACGAAGCAAGTTCCTTTTGTTTTAATGTAATAGAGGATTTTTTGACTCGATATTAACTATCATTTCTTATAAAACAGTACGGCGATTTAGGGCAAACTTATTATCACATGATGACGAGATTAGTATTTGTATCGTTTATGGTTATCATGCCCATTCTTTTATTGAATATGCTGATCGCCATGATGGGTAATACTTATTGTAAAGTGATCATTCAATCCGAGAGAGAATGGATGAGACAGGTACTTGGTTAAAAGTATATCTTAAAATATTTTGAAACATTTTTAGTGAAATTCTCCAATTTCAGTGGGCTAAAATCGTAGTGGCTTTAGAACGTGCCATCGATCAAAAGCGAGCTAAGGAATTCTTGGAAAGTTATTCGATAAGCTTGGATTCTGGAAACGACAGTACTATGGAGCAGAGGGCCGTTATGGTTATTAAAAGTAAAGCTAAAACGAAAGCCAAGCAAAGAAAGGGCGCTCTAATGAATTGGAAGGTAAAAATTTTGAAAAATTAAACATTTTCTAATATTACGTTTCTCTGACCAGAAGCACTAAGCTCTTGCGGGGCCTCTTAACGACACTAGTCTGAAAAATAACTCCAAACTTGTTTACTCGATGCAACTCACGTCAGTTTAATATTTAATTTTTACACAAGAAATTTGCTTTTACTTTTTGTTAAAACTAATTAAATGTTTGCGTGTCCAGGCTGTATTCCGTGCGCCTGTACGTAAGTACGGTCCTGGTTATCATCTTATTTTATTAACCACTCTATATTTAAGGTAATTAGAAATGCATTAGAAATCCGAGATAGATTTTATCCGCTTAAGTGTCTGCTGAAACCAGGTTCCGCTGTGAATTAAGCGTGAATAAGTGAATTAGGAAATTTGATGCACAGTACTTTTTGGCCATCCGATCATCATTCCGCTGCTCCGAAGGTTCGAGAAAGGAACCAAACCTGTCAGAACCGGTGCGAGCCAATTGCTTTAAGGATTCTAGATAGAAATCTTAAAAGTTAGAAATCATTATAGATGGTGTCAATAGGATGTATCGGGTTTAATTATTTTATTTACTTTTATTTAGTTTTGAATAATACATTTACCTGTATCAATTTCTTATTTTTACAGAGAATAGGAAAGAAAATCGTACAAGAAATTAGGCAGTGCGGCGGAACAGCAGACGGTGTTCATCAGAAATTCCACACTCAAGCTAATCTCCTAGCTCCAAAGTTCCATTACGCAATACGAAGTGACGAATCAGAAAACGAAGCCGTCGGAACTCCCATTGTGAAAGACGGACTAGGCGACGCCTTGCATCAATTAGTATTTGCTCACGACTTAGATATTAGTTTAAGTGCCGCAACGCCACCTCCGTCTTCACCATCGAGACTCGAAACTAATGCGAGTGAAGAAGCGGATAAACCCACTTTAGATAATGGAAATGGTAAAGATAACGAAGCATTTGTGAATGATGTAAAAGACGAAATCATCGAAGACAAGTCTCGAGTCCTCATTGCAGATTTAACAAATTCAGAATTTAACACTGCAGTGTGTGATTTTAAAATGGAAATTGCCAAAAAAGACTTAGCAAAAATTAAATTAAAAAAGCACCATCAAAGGAAACTCCTTCTTCATAGAACGAAAATCGGAATCATCGAAGAAGACGTCGAAGAAGAATCTAGAATTCAAAATGCAGAAAACACGGAGCTTCGAGTACTTTCTGACGTGAAACCGAAAAGGAAATTAACGTCAGCTTTCAGAAGAAGCTTGAAGAACAGGCGTAGGAAACAAGTGGAATACGGTAGCAGCGATACGGACAGTTTGCAAAATAACTTAACGGAAAATCATATTACTAAACATAAAAGAAAATGTCGCAAGCATAAGTGTCAGAAATCATTAAAATCTGAAATGGTAACGAGAAATATTACAGAAAACCACACCCAAGTAAAGGCCGATCTTGCACCTTGGAGTACAGAAAACGTGGTAGCCATGACGTCCATCGTTCATTGGGACGACGAGCTTCAAATGTTTTAAATATTTTTATAGAAAATATCTTCTTTTATAACGTTTATTTTATACTTAGTATAACTTTCATTTATAATTCTTAATAGTGAAATTATTAAGAAATTATCGGAATGTATTGTATATACAAGGTGGTCCAAAATTCAGTTACCCACTGTTTTATGCAAATACTGAAGATGATTAACTGATTTTTGATCCAACTTGTATATAAATGTGTACATACATAAAATGTCGAGTGAGATGTTCAAACTTCCTTGAATTAAACTGCCAAAGAACCATAATTACAAGTGCAAGTCGTATTTTGATTTTGATCGACATCTTTCAATATAAACACTGCTCAAAACTTAATTCTCATTACAAATTACAAAGATATCAATTATGTGTCTAGGCTTTCAAGTGTTCACCATTCAATCATTTATTTTTACCGATTTTATATGTTTTGAAGAAATATGAGCGAATAATACAGTGCCTTCTCTCGTGATTTACAATTAAGCAATATTATACAATTTTCATAATAAATATATAAGACAATGTGAAATTGAATGCAAAGTTGAAAATTCTAAAATTTATAGTTTAATGCAATGTTCAAGGATCTGCCAAGATCTCGGCACACATTCAACGTTGAGTAGGATATACGTGCGGGTTCCAAAGTTAATTGTAACGTTGGATATCTGAGGAACTAGCGGAGACTCGATTGCAGTATTGAAGATTTGCCAGGACCTGTAAATCAAATGCAAAGTAGAATGCAATTTGAGGATTTGAAAGTTGAGGATCCGAAAACAGAAGTAAAGGGTAAAACCCTAGAACGGGTGAAAAGGATACAATGTTCGAAATTGTTTAGATCATCAGCGAAACAAACAACTAAATCCAAGTATTTTTTACGTTTAATGTAATTTTTAATTTAATAAAAGCTCAAATCGTGGGAACAAAACTTAAAACTCTAACAATAAAACGTTATATTACTCGTAACTTGTATGTTTTGATTATGTTACGTGTTTTAAGATGTCATGCACTATATATGTAATATATTGTAAAAATATTTATCCTCGAGTACTCTTAAGGTAAGTTTTTGTGTGGAAAGTATCATCATCTGTCACATAAGCTTTTCATTTTAGAATTCTGTAAACATTGCGAATGTAAAATCATTAGAATAGAATTTACTTCGTGGAATGTCTTTAAGATATTAGAAACAACCAGAAGCTACCGTAGCTCCAAGATCTCGCGTATTAACTCGCAATTCATCGTTGAGATTCTCTGCCATTATGTGATAGTTACCGCTACAATAAATTCGCTCGGTTGAAACTAACAGTGTGCTAAACGAAGCCATTGTTTCTAAAAAATCAAATGTAAATAAGATTTATAAATTGTACATTTATATTGACTGATAGGAATTCCATTAAAATGCATTTTTTAAAACTCTTTCTGCCCTGTGGCACTAAGAGGACCTCTTTAAGAAAGTCCATTATGGGTTCAGCAAGGCCCACAATGGGGCGGCCGGGTGGTGAGAGACGAGACCCGACATATCCGGACGGACCTCCCTCCGAGGTAAGGAACCGGCCTTCACGTGACGGGGGGCTAGCGGCGAGAAGCGGCGGGTATAGAAGATTCGAAGGTCCCATCTTGGTCTCGGCCGTTGATAGAGTCTTTAGACCCGGGCCTAAGGTTCCATAGGTGTCAGAGTATCGTGAGCCTTGGGTCTGTGTACCAGGCCTTAATGAAGCTTGCTGTTCATGTGCAGCGTCCCTATCCGCGGCCTCCATCAGGGTTTCTAACATCTCCATAAACTGGAACCTATCCCTGTTCGGACGGATGGCGACTAGAGCTGCAATTTGGCATAGTAGTATGCAGACTCACATCAAAACAGAAGGAAGACTGGTACGGTCAAGGCACGGCGGTTACTCTCTCCGGTTTCGAGGGCCAACAGTCCCTCGGTAAGTCCGGGGCCGGAAGATGATCGCTGTAGCTGCTACTAACAGGATTCTCAGGGATGTCTCGTCTTTGGATGAGATAAGTGGAGTGTAGTCGATTGGACTTGTCTGACGCAAGTTGGCAGTCCTATCGATGGGAGCATAGGCACTTGCTGCCCAGGTGTATGGCTTCACTTGACAGGGACGCTGCTGAAATGTAGTAGGGACCCTCCGCTTTGGAGGAACGGTCTCGAGTCACCCTATTCGCGACGGTTATTGCATCTGCTTGTAGATAGATGATAGTCGTCCTCTCTCTACAAGCAGATGAAGTCCCTGACTAGCTACAGAGGATGCCGAAACTTCTGCATTCAATTCCCGTGTCGGTACAGAGATTGGAGGTCATGGATCTGACAATCCTTACCCTCTGGAATCTGAGAGACTCGAAGCGAACTCCCGCATCTGCCCCAATGGCATGGGACTGATGTTTGAACACAGAAGGCGGTCGAATACAGTTGATCCTGCCTAAGCCCGTGGGAACGCAAGCCACGTAAAGTTTTTTGCCTGATAAAGGAAAATCAGTCTCTCAGGATGAAGACTGGGCTGTGCACAGCCAGTGCTGGCCTAGGGGTTATGACCTGCATGCCGAAGCCAGCGGAGCGAGGTGTCGTACTCCCGTTACCTAAGCCTTGCTGGTGGCCAGGGGGATAGCGCCTGTAGTGGATTACAGCATCCTGCTAACTGATATCTACTGTGACAGGCAGTTGGAAGAGCCGCTCCTCGGCGTAGGGCCAACTTCCCATAAGTCTTGAGGGTGGGGCGGTGCTTAAAGGCCTGACGATGCGTTGGATAGCTGTATATGGTCCTGGAGAACTGGAAGCAGAAAGGTTTCCTAGTAGGGATGATGGGGCGACCTTGAGTAGGTGGCCATTTAAATGGGTAGCTATTCTGGCAGCAAGCCAAACCACTTGTGGGGAGGTTCTTAAACGCATACTCTGATTCTCGAACGGATTTTGAGCAACCGTGAAAGGAAATTTTTCTCTATTTTAATGGTGACAATAATGGGTAATAGCGAATGTGTTAGTAGTGCATCAGGTGCACCCAATGTGCATATCAACTCAAGTGGGGACAACTCAATGAAGGCCACCAACCGAGAGAAAGAGGCAGTGGGAGCACCCAACTGCTAGAGAGGTGGGTCTTGCAAAAACGCTAGCCCACCAATGATCAACCCTAAGAGCGCACAACAGAAGGACCAACCGCTCTCAAAGTGTCTATCCCCGTTAGTGTCGGTAGTTCCGATTCGGACTCCGACTCTGAACACGGGGATGTTTTAATACTGCCTCCTCCAGCAAGGAGAGTTTCTGGAAGGCTGCTCCAGCTAACAATGTAAGAAAAAGTGGCAAGAGGTGACTAAAGCTAAAGCGGGAAATCGTCCAACAACAAGCCAACCGAGGAACCTGCCAAGGCTACAGTGACCGTGAAAGAGGGGAAACTCTCGGCCAAAAGCAAGGGTACGTCTAAAAAAAAAAGGACCTTACTGAAGCGACAGCCGGGAAGAAAAGTCCGGCAGTTACTGAAACACCGTCATCGGCACCTGTAGAAATACAAGAGAGACTCAAGACAGTTCAGGATCACTGGGCCGCACTTGATGGTGTCCATAACGAGCTAACAGAGCTTCTCACAAAGACTGACAGCTGGTGTCAGAAGGCCACATGTGCGATCATTTACAACCTTTTGAGTAAGGTTGCAGCCATTCTGAATGCCCAGGAGGTTGAGATTGTCTCCTCTGGGCTGAGAACAAGATTTTGAGAGAGGTCATGAACAACTGACAACTGCCCAACATGCTTCCGCCAGCAGTAGAAAAAGTTAAAGCAGCAGCAGCAGAAAGTTGCGTGTCCTACGCGACTGTTGCAGCCCGACCGGCCTCGAAGCAAAGTCAAGAGGGGCAGTGGGCTGTTGCAAAAACCAAAGAGGGTGCAGACCACTGAGCATATGCTCTTAGTGTACCCTAAGAACGCTAAGATCGATACGATGAATAGCGACCATGATTGGTCCCTATAAAAACAAACATTAATTAATACGGCTAAGTTGGGAGTCGGAATTAAAAATGTCGCATCCGAAACAACAGTGTCCTGATAGAGGTTGCTAGTCAGGACGTCGCGAGACTTTCAAATTAATTGACGGAGGACTCATCAGTGTTTCGAGAGGCAATCAGTTGCCGACTACCCCAAAAGCACTGATCGAGGGTCGTTCTATTCGATGTCAGCCCGGACATTAAGCGTGAATGTCTGGTGGAGACAATCCTCACGCAGAATAGCTTAGAGATGCAGACTGGTAACCTGCAACCCCGTTTCCCATTAAAGGAAAAGAGAGGCCTCCCCGATGGTCTACCGCATTCTCCTGCAGAAGGGAAGACTCAATGTTGGGTGGACATGCAACCGGGTGAGGGAACAGCTAGGTATCACCCAGTGCTACAGATGCCACGGGTTCAATCACGTAGCAAAGAGCTGTTCGGCGACGGCTCAGATCTCTTGCAAGTGTGCCGATGGCCACTCCTACAAGGAATGTAAGGCCACTACGCCTAAGTGCATTAATTGCGCAAAGGTTAATAAAAAGTTTAACCTGCAGCTGGGTATCGGTCACTTCTCACGAGTGCCAGCTGCCCGTGTTACACATGGGAACTAGAATAGTTCTGATTAGGTCAGTAAATAATGGAACGTAGCTTTTGTTCGATTCTTCTTACACACATAATCAGAAGGACGAAAGACGTGGCTGCAGGATATTACAGTTTAACGCTGAAAAGTGCCGCGCTGCAACTGCCGAACTTTGGGTAGAGGTATTCAAGCAGGAAACTGACATCATCCTGCTCCAAGTACAAGTACAAGGAAAGGTTAGTGATCTATCACTATAATGGTGTGTGTTTGCTGAAGAGAGTAAGCTGCCGTTGTATTAAAACAGGGGAACGTCGATGCGTATGCCATCCACATCTCGCGATTCGTAATGGCCGTAGAAATACGGTCGCCCACCTTTACATAAGCCGCGGTCTCTAGTTATTGCCCACCATCATTCAATATCGGCGGCCTTCTGATTGAACTCGAAAGGGTTGTCTTGCCTCGTGATGGGGTGGTTTTGGCAGGCGATTTTAACGCTAAACACTCGTTGTGGGGCTCCCCAATAGACGATCCAGCCGGGGAAAGTGAAAAGTAGCAATCCGTTCAGGATTGCTCCCTTCTCCTCTGCTGTAGACAAGAACTTGATTGACCTCACAATTGTGAGTGGGGCTATGCTGAGAATTACCTCGGAGTGGGAAACGATTGATGCAGAAAGCTGTAGTGACCATCACTTCATCGCTTACGAGGTGACCAAAGTCTTACAGACCAATAAGTCTATTGCCATTCCTGGGGAAGGTTCTAGACAAAATCCACTATCACTCGAAGCGGCGAGGACTTTTACACCTACAATATGGGAATTAAATCCATTGTATCATATTACGACTTCATAATCCAATTTTTCCCGGTTTTTTCCTACTGGAAATGTTTTTCTGACAACTTTCCAGCAACAAAACATAATTTTATGACATTATCTGAGGGAATATATATAGACCACCTTGATATTTTATGAATATTAAGCTCTCCTTTGTTAAATTTGTTTTATTTCCAAACAAAAGCTTCACGAAAGAAAAACATTTAGCAGTTTTACAATATTTCCAGCAACATATTCTATTACCTTTTCAGAATAATGTGTTAGTGGTTCATATTGTGCAATTAAAAATGATCAAATTTGAAAATATTTTGCAGATTATTTATTGTATCTTTATTATTATGTAAATGTGACTTTTCTATATATTTTTATTAGAAATGCTAAATGAAAAGATATCTGTACAGTTTAATTGACTATTAGCTTTTGGAGATGGAAAAACTCTGGCAAACAAACACTTCCTATATGCTGATCTAAACTGCAATGCTGTGGGATTGTTGTTACCACCTCTATTTCTAATTGCAGAAAAAAATAACTCAATGTGATCGTGGCTGAATTTTTTGTGAGAAGATAATTTAATAA